AAGGAACCGTGTACACAACTGAGAAAGGTCACGGCAGCTAGGGGAGACCTTCATTCGCCAGTTGATTGACCGTGACTGATGATGTTGCTGATGACATGAGCAACTTAATGTCACCTGTGTGGGTTAGGAAAGCAGGCTTTGAGAGGTCTGAGTGATGCTCTGATGGAAAAAGAGTAAGATCATGAGCTTGAACGTAAACAGACAAGACAAGTGGAGGGAGTTGTGGACAGCGGATATTGGCAACCTGCTTCTTACACTTCACAGACCACTCAACCTGCCAGTTCAAGGCCTATTGATTTGAATATATTCTAATATAGTTTAATGATGTCACGGTAAAGGCATCGTCAGGTATGGCTTATACTATCGCCTTCTTCACCAACCGCCCAACAAAATGAGTACAGTTTAGGCATATCACGTTTCACAATACCTATAAAGCTATTCATTCTGGAAATTCAATGCTTGGAACACAAAACTCAGAAACTAATTTATAATTAATCAATTAAAGCCGATTGTTACGCGCACAAAACACCCATCGAATTGTATAATCTACTCGACCTCCTATATCCAGTTAATGCACGTTGCTTGCAATTGTTCAAAGCGCAAGCACCAACAAGACAGAATATATGAGAGAGACAGTAAAACATTTACAAAAAAATTAATTTGAAAACAAGTCATGACTCTTGAATCATGACAAATTATTCAATTGCAAAGCAAATGCATTTTTACATGCATATTATCGTGGTAATGTTTGCATCAAGTCAGGAATTAAAATTGATTCTTCCAATCACAATACATGCATTGGATGATGTGTTTGATAATCAGATATTCACAATATATGCATATTATGCGTAAATGGAATGTTATTGTTCGGTTAAATGAAAAAACGACTGCACAAACATGAGACGAAAATAATTATAAACAACACAAACGAGACAGCAGAACAAACTGACATTCATTGGATGCCTGGAAAAGGGAGGTACACGACAGTGTAACGAGCGTGGAGGCAGGTGATACCTTGGGCCCCCTGGTGGCCAAAGCTACGAGTTGGGGGCCTCCTTAACAACCACCATGAGATTTGTTTTCAACAACAGTGTCAAAGGGGCCGTCCATAAATGACGTCACGCGATTTTGGACGATTATTGACCCCCCCCCCACCTTCGTCACACGACGTCACAAAAAGTCAGACCCCCCTCAAATATGACGTCACAAAGCTCTGCCCCCCCCCCCCCCCCCCCAAAATCATGCTTCAAATCGCTTTAAACTATTGTCATTGTAGTGCGTATTTAATGTGGCGCTGCACTCTGTTATAGGAAAACATTTTTTTTAATTGAAAAGTCTATTTAATTAAGTAGAACGTGTTGTCTATATTTATTTAAAGGTGCGCATTTTGATGTGACGTCACATTTCTCATACCCCCCCCCCCCCTCGTCACAAATGTCTGACCCCCCCCCTCCAGGTGCGTGACGTCATTTATGGACGGACCCAAAGAACAAAAAGTATTTAACACGGAGCACCCCGTACAGCGTTAAATGTTCGAGATCGTGAGCGTAACGATGTGATTAGGCAAGAGGAGCCGTGAAATATAATCGCCTGGGAGACAAATCAAATATTGGGGCCCACCTGAACAATTGCCACACCCCCTGAGCTGACAATATTGCTACGCCACTGAAGGTACTGCAATGTCATAACATGCCTATTACCTACTATCTGCTCTGGGACCATGGACTCACTCCGAAAAACAAGGCAGCAGTTGGATAAATCAGGAGCGTTTCAGACCGGGCAGCTGGCTCTGAAAGACAGACTTGCCTCGCCACTGGCGGTTGGTGAACCCCCAGCTGCCAGTATCCCACTGAAGATCCTCCAACCCGAGACTGGCGCCGTTGTCTGCCAGGTCACGTTTCACTTCTCCTGGGCAGCCACCCGCGTCGTCAGGTGCCGGCAAACACACATCCGGCGGAGTGCCTCGCGCGCAGAGGACACAGAGCCCGAGGTTGCTCAGGAGGGAGTCGGTTTGAAGTGGAGCGAAGCCCTCTTATCCTCCGGCTCGCCCCACAGCCTTCCTTCCCCCGTGTAATAAAATATGCCGCGGCAAAGCTGGCGACAAAGAGGCTCCCAGTGCCATGACAATTAAAATAAACACCAGCTCTTCAATGCACCTACCCAAAGACAAAGATCCCCCGTGTAGCCTTAGCAAGTGCTGTTAGCGAGCGTCCATGAAGGCCGGCACGGCACACGTCGGGGTGGGTGGTCAGCACCACGCCCGGCAGCCTTTGTCTCCCCAGTGGCAATGTTTACACACTGCACCGGGTACTCATTTGAGGCTGAGTCGATCTAGGGGAGACCCAGGACCGGTTCAGATAATCGTCACCGGTGTTGGCCGTGAGAAGGAATCGGACTTGGGTTGCTGGGTTCGTAGCGCAGCGCGTTAACCTTACATAACCACTCCCCATACTCCTCTACACCCCTATTCAATTATAAAATGCACTGCACTACTTTGCATTTCGAGGCTATCAATTCTACGTTCGATTTTAAATTACTTACTGTAGATTTCCAGCAATATTTGTCCTTAAGTAAAACATAACTTTTAAAAGTATATTTTATAATAACCCAGGCTGAAGCGGGAATAACATTACAATGATTCTTGATATTTATGGAAATCCCACGGAGTTCAGAAGTTGTATATGGGTTCCATGCTTATGAGACTGAACATGTTCTTTGGATGTCAATTACTCGACACGGCAATTCTTGATTCCAGTGGCGTCGCCAGGTACAGTATTCTCAAACAATGACAAAAGCATGGCCCCCACGAAGCTCAAGAAGCTATGGATTCATGATATTTAGAGGTACGTTAAATATCAGCTCCAATTTCAAATCCTAAAACAGTAAACAAAATAAACATGAAAAGCTAATTCACCTGTCATCTCCATCTTGTCTGCATCTCTCTTCTCCCATCTCACTCCATCTCTATTTTGGGATAAATTAATTTTATCTCGCTACGCCACTGTCTCTTGTCAATATCTCCTCTGCCGTCTCATAAGGAGGGACGGAGGGAGGGGGGCAGGGAGGGGGGTGGGGGGGCCTGAAGATAATTTCTCGAGGACCGCCAATGGTTCAAAACCTTCCTCTCATGGAGGCCCTTTCGCCAGAAGCCGAGTGAGCGAGCAAAACGCAGGGCCGCACGTTCACCTTTTCCGAAAGCACTGGATAATTCATGACGAAGCAGCCTAGGTTGTGACATTGGAACTCGGCGGCGAACTCTTGGAAAAGATATCAAGTGCAACGTGACGAAAGCAGATGCCACGCAGTGGTAATTTCACTCAAACGTCACGTGGCCATTTCCCTCGTGTGACCTCAACGGTGAACCTTGTCTGCCACTCTGCGCAAGAAAACGTAACAATATTAATATCCATCAAAATTGAGAATGTAAGTGCCAATTAATAAATGCCAATGAATTCGACAACTAACTAACTCAGCAACAAATATTTACAAAAAAAGTTTTTAAATTAGTTAAACGGATATGCCAAATAGTTTTTTCCTTACGTAGTGCAGCGCACGACAGATTGCCAGGCAACCTCCCACCGATGGAAGATGCTAGAACATCGAGCACAAAATCTATAATGCCACAGTTTCATTTCCATATTCGTACTTTAAAATTAGCTCAATATTTAATTGCACGGAATGAAGCCATTTCAATCATTACCATATTCCAATTAAAGTATAAGAAAAGAGGTGGAAATTAATGGTGACAAAAATAGGTTCGGCTCTGCACTCAAACACACACTGCCAATTACACAGCACTCATGAGGAAATGCTGTGATACTGTATTTCATGCTACGGTAGATATATATAATTATCCTTTCTAAATTATTAACAATCGTAAAACATTTTTGCAATTTGGGGTGTATGCAGAATTATGAAAAGTGCAGGCGAACAAAGAAAAAGTTAACAGGCTGCGCCCTTGTTAGCTCCCTCGTCTGGTATACAGGAAGTTGTGGGTTCGATCCCGACCCTAATGCCTGTATATTTGGAGTTTGTCCTCCCCGTGGTCACGTGGACTCCCAGTTTCATGACTTTTCTCCGGGTCCTAGAATATTTGACTGCTATACATTTCCACGTGATAAGCCACTTCATTGAGCTATCATTTGTGGCCAGGTCACTTCTGAAAAAGAGCTACATCGTTCAGTATGTCTTATCTGGTATAATAAAAAAAAATCACTTAATTTTAGTTAAGTAGTTCAGGTTGGTATAATTCATCTCCAACCAGAATGAGAACACATGGGTGCGTTAATCACTTCGCGGATAGACAGAGTGTATTAGAGCCCATTCATATAACACAAATAAACACTGAAAGTGTACAATACGCGTGGCCATGCAGACCTGGCAAGTACAACACGCGTACCCCTGCAGACTTGGCAGGTACAACACACGTGCCCGTTCAAACTTGGCAGGTACAACACGTGTGCCCGTGCAGACTTGGCAGATACAACACACGTGCCCGTGCAGACCTGACAGGTACAACACACGTGCCCCTGCAGACTTGGCAGGTACAACACACGTGCCCGTTCAAACTTGGCAGGTACAACACACGTGCCCGTTCAGACTTGGCAGATACAACACACGTGCCCGTGCAGACCTGACAGGTACAACACACGTGCCCCTGCAGACTTGGCAGGTACAACACACGTGCCCGTTCAAACTTGGCAGGTACAACACATGTGCCCGTTCAGACTTGGCAGATACAACACACGTGCCCGTGCAGACCTGACAGGTACAACACACGTGTCCCTGCAGACTTGGCAGATACAACACGCGTACCCATGTAGACCTGGCAGGTACAACACGTGTGCCCGTGCAGACCTGGCAGGTACAACACGTGTGCCTTTCAGACCTGGCAGGTACAACACGCGTGCCAGTTCAACACGCGTGCCACTTCAGACCTGGCAGGTGGAACACATAGCAGACAGACACGACTACTCGACACTCGCGTGGAGCCGACTCACCAGGTGGATAAACCCCGACGCAGTGAGCCAGGTGCTGATGAAGATTGAGAGCAGGTTTACTAGCTTGATGGAATTACTGAAAGATATTAAAACACACACACACATTAGATAACAATCATGTAAATGTAGAACCTTTCTGTCAGTCCACTGCTGGGGGTTACTTGACAATTCTCTGTCATGCTGATCAGAGCGAGTTGGTTCGTGTAGGTGGGGAGCAGAGATGTGGGAGCATAGAACTATGTACGGTACAACAATATAATTCGATGCATTGCCCTCTGCTGCCACGCATGTATCCCAGCAGCTTATACCACCTGGGTTTGCATGTTGTTTGCCAGGCAAGCGCTATCCAGGCTCAGCCTTAGCTTCTGAGATCTGATAAGATTGGGCAGATTCCAGATAATTTGGTCATCGTCAGGACATTATTACCACACCATTTATTATCGAGGAAAGCTCACCGAGTCTTTCACCTATTTCAAGAGCATCCTGAATGTGGATAATAATGGGTGTTTAAATACCGCATGCGTTTTCTATTCCTTATTAATTTAACGTTTCATGTTATTGTCCTATGATGTTGTGCACTTGTAAAACAATACTTACATTCGATTACGCGTTGCATTTGTGACAAACCCTAATGAGTAGAGGCACAGGGCTCCCGTGGAGACAGTACGGAGGGGATGGAGTCTAATGGGGAAAGCACGGAGGCAGAAGGATCTAGTAGGGGGGCATAGAGGGACAGCTGGGGAGGGACGAGGGTGCCCGAGAAGATGAGGGCCAGCGATGAAGTAGGCGGGCCAATGGAACGATGGAAGGAGTTGTCAAGGCAACATTGCCTTCATGGACTGCAGGTGGAATAGAAGGGGAATTGAAAGCCCTGTGAAGTGTATGGCCAGAAGGGTCAATGGATGCAGAGATATGGGCGTGGTTAATGGGTGATATCGTGAGGATAGGGCTAGGGCAGGGGTGGGCAATCAAAATAACAAGATGAGCCATTCTTTTCAAATTCGGTGAAACAAAACAAAAATCAATATTTCAAGAGCCGCAAGGCATTTGAATACGAGACGGTGGTCCTTGATAAATAACGTCACGAGGACAGTCCTTAAAGAGCCGCCCACGGCTCCGGTAGCCGCGGGTTACCGACCCCTGGGCAAGGGTAAAAGATAATAAAAGGGGTATGGACCGAAAGGGGGAGGGAATCGCAGGAGAGCGGTGTGAAGTGGGAGGATGGTGCAGGTTTACAGGGCGGAGAAGCGGGAGATTCCAGCCAACAGGAGGCAGGCGAATGCAGGGAGAACTTGTGGGAACGAGGGTGGGATGGCTGCGTGGCCAGATTGGCGAAGGCGAGAGTTTGTGGCAGTGAAAGAGCGTGTGTGCAATTACATATTCAGTTAAGCATCACGGTCATAGAGAATATTGACTGATTTTACTCTCCGTGCGGTTATAATAAACCCGCCCTTTATTGAAAGAGAAATCTTCAGTCGTCTCTAATTTCCATGGTGGGCATTACATATTCATCGTCAGAATTGTGATTAATGCACTCGCCACAAGACCAGGCTCCACAACCGTTCCAACTCGTGCCACAGCTGCCCAGTAAATTGTAGGGGAAGTTTATCAGCGAGGCGCACCATCTGTTAGGAAGGAAACATTCAATAGCTCGTGCCACTGGGTGCCAAGTCCCAGACAAAGTCCCAATAACTGGCACTCTCAGTGTAATTTGACAAATACAGGTCTCCCTTGTTGTATTGATCTCAACACGTAGTTTTTCGCAGCCAATATGATTCATGGTTGATTTTTGGGTTAAGCAAAATTTGTGTCGTTAAGACCCTCCACCACCTGAAATTGGCAAACAAATATCACGTGTATAACAATATGGCAATTTAAACGATTCGCTCTAGACTGCCAAGCACCATTAGGACAAGATCCAATAAATCGGCATGAAAGATCCATAAAGTCAGACTCAGCTTGTCACCTGATACAGCTTCTGAAATAGGAGGGTCATGACCTCACAGCAAAAAACAATCAAATTTAAACTATATATTAACCATTGCAAGTTAATTTATTCAAATGATATTCAAAATTATCTGGGTGAATGATGAACATATGCATTATTAATTCTGACTGCTCATGAATATGCGAGCCTGCGCTGGTAATTAATGACCACATTTGTGCTGGTTAATATCTCGCTTAAATCTGATTGGTTGTTGCTGTGAGGTCAGCACGCCTATTTAATAAGCCTAATTAGATGACACAGTTATTCAGATCTTGGGGATTTTTTTTTATTTAAAAAATAAATACAAATCCATTCTTCTTTGGTTCTTTCGGTAAAGTCACGTAGAATGAGAATAAAATAATAAAATAAATTAAAATAAGACAATAAAATTCTCACGACGTTTCGGCCACAACGCAAGCGGCCGTCTTCTGGTGAAAGGTACAGACCTGTCGGGACGACAGAGCTTCAATGAACGATGTTAAGATTCGTAGCGACTTTTTAAGCTCGGTGAGAGGCGTGAAACCTCTTGACAAAGGAGTTTAAGTATCAAAGCAGGATAATTTAGCATTGAAATAGCTGAGGGATTGGCTTGTGACAGAAATAGCTATGTTAAAGTCAGAGTTTACCTATCAACAGAGGCATTTAGTATATGGACGCTAAAGGCCTCCAACTGCCCAACTTTCATACAGTAAACCGATGTGAAACAAACTAAGTCTATGTTACATCAATATAATAAATGTACTTAATATATTCTTCAGTAAGCTGGGCTATTCATCACAAAGCAACTGGGTATACACTACACTATATAATGAGTGTCTTTTAAGCTCGGTGAGAGGCATGAAACGTCTTGACAAAGGAGTTAACGTATCAAAGCAGGAGAATTTAGCATTGAAATAGGTGAGGGATTAGCTTGTGACAGAAATAGCTATGTTAGAGTCAAAGTTTACCTATCAACCGAAGCATTTAGTATATGGACGCTGAAGGCCTCCAACTACCCAACTATCATACAGTAAAACCGATGTGAAAAATAAAAAACTGGGTTTGTATTACATCAATATAATAAATGTACTTAATAAATTCTTCAATAAGCTGAGCTATTAATCACAAAGCAACTGGGTAAGGTAATGCCAGCGAAAGAGCTGCGGTCTGACGGTCACCGTAAAATACAATTAATTAAGAACCGAAATGGTTTAAAACATCTTTCCAATGGTTACTAAGCCAGAATCCATCTTCTCGGTTGAAATTGTCTCTGTGCTTGTATATGTGGATGGCCTCATGAACGAATCTCTCATGGTAGCCGGTTGGCATGCAAAGAACCTCCGTCTTGGAGAAGTCAATGTCATGTGAGCCCAGTGAATTATAACAGTGATCTGCCACGGCTGAGGAGTTCGTCCTACCGTGTTTCAAGGCTGCTTTATGTTCGCGGATGCGGTCCGAGATATGTCATTTGGTTTTTCCAATGTAGTTGCTACCACAGAGGCACTTTAGTTTGTAAACGCCCGGGTACTGTATGTCTGGAACAGCATCTTTTACAGATGGAACCAGATCACGGATTTTATGTACTGTGTTGAATCGGACCTGGATCTTGTGTTTATTCAGGATTTTGGAGATCTTTTTAGTAACCCCTGCAATGTAGGGTAAGGTGATGGTTTTGAGTGGCTTCTCAAGAGGATCCTTCTTCATGACTGGAGTGATGGCTTTACTGATTGTGTAGTCGGAGTAACCATTAGCCCTGAGAGCCTGGTGTACGTGCTTGAGTTCACTGACAATGTGTTCCTGGTCGGAAATGCATTGGGCTCTATGGTATAGACTATAGAGTCTTGATGAGGGAGTTCTTCTGGGATGGATGGTGGTGGGAATCTGGTTTCAAGTAAGCATCTGTATGGGTAGCTTTTCTGTAGACAGAGTGGCTCATTGAACCATCAGGTCTCCATTTAATTAAGACATCCAAAAAGGGTAGCTTGCCATCTTTTTCGACCTCCATGGTAAATCTAATGGCTGGGTGTATAGAATTGATGTGGTCGACAAATTGGTCTAGAGCAGGCTGGCCATGTAGCCAGATGACAAAAGTGTCATCCACGTACCTCTTCCATAAGGTCGGGCGTAGAGTGGCAGTCTGGATGGCGTCAGTTTCTAAATTTTCCATGAATACGTTGGCTACAACCGGAGACAGGGGGGAGCCCATTGGGGTGCCCTCAGTCTGTTTATAGAAAGTTCCATTCCAGGTGAAGTATGTGTTGGTTAAGCAATGTCTCACCAGGGGGGGTACATCAGTATGTAGTCCTTGATGAACCAAGTCTTCAATGATTGCGATGGTGTCAGGCATTACCTTACCCAGTTGCTTTGTGATTAATAGCTCAGCTTATTGAAGAATATATTAAGTACATTTATTATATTGATGTAACATAGACTTAGTTTGTTTCACATCGGTTTACTGTATGAAAGTTGGGTAGTTGGAGGCCTTTAGCGTCCACATACTAAATGCCTCTGTTGATAGGTAAACTCTGACTTTAACATAGCTATTTCTGTCACAAGCTAATCCCTCAGCTATTTCAAATGCTAAATTCTCCTGCTTTGATACTTAAATTCCTTTGTCAAGAGGTTTCACGCCTCTCACCGAGCTTAAAAGACACTCACTATATAGTGTAGTGTATACCCAGTTGCTTTGTGATTAATAGCCCAGCTTATTGAAGAATATATTAAGTACATTTGTTATATTATGTAATATAGACTTAGTTCTTTTCACATCGGTTTACTGTATGAAAGTTGGGTAGTTGGAGGCCTTTAGCGTCCATATACTAAATGCCTCTGTTGATAGGTAAACTCTGACTTTAACATAGCTATTTCTGTCACAAGCTAATCCCTCAGCTATTTCAATGCTAAATTCTCCTGCTTTGATACTTAAATTCCTTTGTCAAGAGGTTTCACGCCTCTCACCGAGCTTAAAAAGACGCTAGGAATCTTAACAACGCTCATTGGAGCATTGTCGTCCCGACAGTTCTGTTCTTTCACCTGATGAAGGCTACTTGTATTGTGGCCGAAACATCGTGAGAATTTTATTGTCTTATTTTAATTTATTTTAATATTTTATTCTCATTCTACATGACTTTACCGAAAGAACCAAAGAAGATGAATCCTTGCAGTTACGAAAGCTTTAAATCGAAATTTAAATCCATTCTTAACGCATTTGTGTTAATGCAATACTGATAGCACATCGATGTGTCCTACCTGCCATGACATGTGGACCGGATGAATGAACATTAACAAAGAAAACTTAAACAAACTAAAAAGTGTGAAAAGAAGCATGGGGGAGATGCTTGCTCTAAAAAGACATTGTTATGCAGAATGAGAAAGGCTTGGACTAGAGAACATACCCAAGTTAAAGACATAATTCAATCTATCAAGAAAAGTGCATGGGCTTTGGCAGGACACATCGACAGAGGGGATGATGACCGACTGTCAATACATATTACAGAGTGGCAGCCAAGAAGATGGGGCAATGACGAAATCAGACATTGAATGTATTTTTAACTTCTTTTACACCATACTCTTTGGTTCTTTCGGTAAAGTCACGTAGGTAGAAAAATAATAGATCACCAAGTTTCGATCGCAACACAAGCAATTGTTATCAGATGGGACAACCACCTATCTATTATTGTTCTACCTACGTGACTTTACTGAAAGAACCAAAGAGTATGGATTCCTGCAGTTACGAAAGCTTCACATCAAGATTCTTTTACACCATAAGTAGCCAACCGTGCTAATCGGAGGTGCTAGGCGGATTATTATATCTCAGGATCGTGAGAGATAGCGACGGTATGGGGAAGCCTTCATCCAGAAGTGGATTGATCATGGCTGATGATGGCAATGATGATGATGTGGATAAAAGAAACAAAATCCAGCAGCTGTCACAGCGGACATGCACTGGGCAATGTGGCCGCGATCTGATCTGTGTTGAACCTAAAGCTGACGGGTTTTCTCAAAACACAGTGCTGTCTTCATGACCTATGGTGACCTCAATGCAGACGGGATATACAAGGTTCGGAAAACAGCATTGTCATGGGAAAGGGGATGGGTGCCCAGACTCCCAATTCAAGTTATTGAGAAAACATGAATTAAATCGTTATTTTGAAGCTAGGTATAAGCCCATAATTAAAGAGGGCCTTCAATTGCGGTGACAATGCTCTCATCCCAGTTACGCATTAGTCATACGTACTGGGTTATTTACTCCTTTAAGCCAAGACCATGGTCTTGAGGGATCAATTATACATACATAGTGGTACGTATATCATGACTGGCATGAGGTAAACCACTCTTTATGGGCAAGAGATGTACTATTATGAGGTAGTTCTGTGCTGTCGTCTTGTGAGGCCTTTCTCTGACAATCTGATATTGTTTTGATTGCGGATAAAAGATAATTTTAAAACCAGTACACCAATGTTTACATTTACATCCTTTGGGGCTTCCTGTCCACTCCAAATCACATCACCGTCAATAATTAAGCATCCATCTCACACAATCAGGATGATTTCTATTGATGTACATTATTGATTATGTCTTTAAACACCTCAATGCTCCTTGCAACCTGGGGTACGTGGGTCACGTTTAACCCGAACCCAGCCATTCTCGGCTGCAGATAAAGTTCTCCCCAAGATAAAATCATGTGAAAGTGGCTGAGCTAATAAGGAATATGTCTCTATCAAAGCACTGAGCCGGCATCACTGAGATTCTGGGTTTGAATCCTGGGCCCCTCTCCAGTGATTAAACTGGGTCCTCAAGTGTAGTCAGCCGATGCTCTCAGTCTGGTCACCTGGGGCTACAAATGAAATAGACACGTGGTCCATCACTTTATTTGGCATATTCCAGCTCCAAGGATGGCACAATCCGGTTGGATTAAAGTGTGGCAAATGCTCAAAACAGGACATAACACGAGTCCATTATCTTGAATTAAGTTATAAGCCAGTTGATGTGAGTTGAGAAATAATCTCATGACACCACCCTCTGAGAGGTGTTCCCTGGCACGATGTTATGCCCTGCTCGCTGTGGACGTTCCCAATGGAGGTGTATTCATCTCGTGACACGATGCCAATGATAATAATAATAATAAGGCGGTGATGAAATAGAGAAAGGAAAGGGTGACTGTGTTAACGGGGCAGCGAGCCCCTCATGGGGTCCATGTTGCACCTGGTCTTGAGAACGTTGAGGAACTGCAGAATCTCGGAGAACTGAATGAGGCGCAGCGCCCGGAGGAACCTGAAGCCTGCGGGAAGAGAAACGAAAGAGCAGCCGCAGGTTTTTGGGTTTAGTTTGTTATCCTTCCCCCGCACCTCCAATTAGCAGCAGTTGGCTGCGTAAGGTACGAAATAAGTTCAACATACATACATGATCAGAATCAGAATATTTAATTATCCTGGAGGAATCCAACGAGCTATAAAGCTCTTTTTCACAAACGTCGTGAGAATTGTATTGTTTTATATGTATATTTTTTTAATTATAATTATTTTATTGTTTCCCCTCTGCGTGACTTTACCGAAAGAACCAAGAATAAAATGTCCAGTAGTTGTCGATCTGTCCGGTCGATCTCAAGAGGGAACACTCTCACTTTGAAAGGTCAAAACACATCGCGTCTTGCTGCTCAAAATAGTGTGAAGGTACTCATTGCTCTGAGCCCGTGGTGGAAATTCCACATTCCTACGGAGAGAACGAGTTCACCCATGTGACAACCACTGATTGTGAGTCGAGCACTCTGCGACAGCACCGGCGCTCAGCCATCGGCACAGCTCATGTGCAGAGCATTCTCAATTAACCACAATAACTGGGGTGCCTTGCACAGAAAGGCACTTTGCACATTTCTAAGAAGATTATTCAATCAAAAATGTTGGCGCGACAAGCGGATAATTAATCGTGTAATGTACGTGTGTGAAATGAATTTTAGTAGTGGATTCCAAATCACAATTATCTCACACTTAATATCAGGTCTGACCTACGAGCTATATATATATAATATTCCCACATGGCTTGGCATTATCATAAGTCACAGCAATATGCCAAACGACTCCAGTACGAAGACCTCCCCACCCCGTGCCAGTCACGGTGGTTGTTTGACTAAAACTTCACCATGCTAGTCAGTGAGAGTTAGTGAAAGTGGGGGGGAAGGGGGGGTGGTGTGAGATATCGCTCGACACTGTGGTTAGCAGCGACCTGGAATCAAACTCAGATCTCCAGCTTTACAGGTCCATAATGTAGCAGTGTGCTGAATCCCGTCCTGCTGCATGATCGCAACATGCCTTTACTCTACGTTAACTCTCCTGGCACGGCAATCGTAATTGTTCTTTCCCCCTTCCCCACCCACACCAACCCAAACATATAAACCACGTGAGCAATTTTCTCCAATTATATATCCAAGCTGCTCTCTCAGCTCAGCACCTAGGCGCAGAGGAAGTCCCTTTGCACGATGTACACAGCAGAGGCACTCCACACTAGGGAGCAATTGAGCCCTCCTCATGGATACACAACGGAACTTCCAGGACGCGCGCTCCCCACAAAACGCTCTCAAGTGGCTGAGCACCAAGGATATATCACATGCGAAAGCAAATGTACACGGTTGCGTTTTGTATAGCAAATGGTGACTGGGTTTGCAGTCATTAGCCGATAATAATGATGCCCCTTTAACCTGCAAAGACTCCGAGTTTCAAGGATCCTTTCAGGATGGGCCTGCATGCTGTGTTTGGACAATTAATTATTATTAAGTATGAAACAAAACCAGGAAGTATGAGAAAAAACGAACGCGAACGAGTGGACAATACTTACAATGTCTACAGATTGGTATTCAACCTACTTGCTATACTGTCATCTGCTACTTCTTGCATTTGTGCTGTGTCGCCCCGTGTACAATGATGGTGAAGAATCAAAGTGATTAAATACATTGACTTGTTAATGAGCAAAGTTTCCAGCATTCATTCAATATCATACATAATGAACACAATGCCTATTAATTGTATGCAATTAACACAAAAAAATTAAAAATATAATGCAAAACAACACAGAGAGTCGGCTAACACAACAGTCAACACCCTACCTGGTTGATTACGTTCTTCCAAAGATCTCTAAACTTGAGAGAGAGAGACAAAACACAGACACGGAGACACATAGACACACGAGCAGAGAGACAGTGTCTACGTGTGTGTCTCTCTCTCCGTGTGTCTCCGTGCGAGTCAGCAGCTGCGCTCTCAACAACGTTCGCCACAGACTCAAAAGTTGTCGCAGTCTCTCCACGTGAGTCTCTCTAGCACTCCAGGCAGCTCTTGGATTTCCAGGTCGCTGTTCTTCCACGTGAAGCTGAGAGCAACGTGTCCCAAGCATGTTCAAGATGCCCACCTCACAGTCTCGCTAGGTCAGGGGTCGGAAACCAAAATAATATTGAGGTTAAAAAAAACAACTCAATATATCAATGCGCGTGGTGAATACGAGGCGGCGGTCCTTCATCAATAACATCACAAAGCAGCGACCTGGGGTGGCTGAAATGCCGGGGCAGTTACGGTCCAGCGACCGAGCAGAGAAAGCCTCTACACCCCCACCCCCAAAACGAACAATCGCTTGTAAACATTGCTTCGCGCCGTCTGATAGTCCGCACAATGAACATTGCCATTTGTTAATGCGCATCATTATGAACGTGCGCCTGTCAATGCTTGAAGAGGCGTTCGTCGTCGTAACGCGATACTGCGTCGCTTGCGGCTCCCATACTCTAATGCAGCGTTGGTGTTCAAACTCCTGTGTCAGCACGAACAACACAACCACTGTCAACACGAACAACACAACCACTGTCAGCACGAACAACACAACCACTGTCAGCACGAACAACACAACCACTGTCAACACGAACAGCACAACCACTGTCAACACGAACAACACAACCACTGTCAACACGAACAACACAACCACTGTCAACACGAACAACACAACCACTGTCAACACGAACAACACAACCACTGTCAACACGAACAGCACAACCACTGTCAACACGAACAACACAACCACTGTCAACACGAACAACACAACCACTGTCAACACGAACAACACAACCACTGTCAACACGAACAACACAACCACTGTCAACACGAACAGCACAACCACTGTCAACACGAACAACACAACCACTGTCAACACGAACAACACAACCACTGTCAACACGAACAACACAACCACTCTCAACACGAACAACACAACCACTGTCAACACGAACAACACAACCACTGTCAACACGAACAACACAACCACTGTCAACACGAACAACACAACCACTGTCAACACGAACAACACAACCACTGTCAACACGAACAACACAACCACTGTCAACACGAACAACACAACCACTGTCAACACGAACAACACAACCACTGTCAACACGAACAACACAACCACTGTCAACACGAACAACACAACCACTGTCAACACGAACAACACAACCACTGTCAACACGAACAGCACAACCACTGTCAACACGAACAACACAACCACTGTCAACACGAACAACACAACCACTGTCAACACGAACAACACAACCACTGTCAACACGAACAACACAACCACTGTCAACACGAACAACACAACCACTGTCAACACGAACAACACAACCACTGTCAACACGAACAACACAACCACTGTCAGCACGAACAACACAACCACTGTCAACACGAACAACACAACCACTGTCAACACGAACAACACAACCACTGTCAACACGAACAACACAACCACTGTCAACACGAACAACACAACCACTGTCAACACGAACAACACAACCACTGTCAACACGAACAACACAACCACTGTCAACACGAACAACACAACCACTGTCAACACGAACAAAAACATGCGGCGGACCACCGTGTACCAATAAAATGTTTGATTTGAGTCTAATCTGTAACATGTTTGTAAAAAAAACATAAATATACAATTTACATGGCAATGGGCATTATAATATATATGGTGTTTTGCAAACAAACCTAATAAACAGGCTCCACTGTGGCGAGATGTTAACTACCTCGCCTAGTGTACAGGAGCTCATGGGTTCAATCCCGAACCCTGATGCCTGTATATTTGGAGTTTGCGTGTCTCTCTCCCCGTGGTCACATGGATATTTCTCCAGGTCCTCCGGTTTTTCCTCCAACATTTAGACATATACATTTAGAGTATTTAGCCGCTATACATTTCCACGTGACGAGCCACTTCGTTGAGCGATCATTTGTGGCCATGTCGCTTCTGAAAAAGAGCTGCATAACTCAGCGGGCCTTACCTGTTAAAATTAAATAATAACTTTTATATTTTCTAGTTTTTAGTTTTAGTTCTGTGAACCCATTCAAATGGCCTTGCGTATTACCAGGGGTCCACGGACCACAGGTTGGGAACTACTGCTTGAGTGGCTAAACATCAAGCGCTAAGATCCTTTATTTAATAAAAAAAAATTCCCTCCAGAGAGAGAGAGAGGCATGATGCGGCCTCAGAGAAAGAGAGGAAAGAGGAGAGAGAGAGAAAATGAAATACTGCATACAAATATCACTGAAGCAAGAATTACATTTCAGAGTAAATGCTGAACTCTGACAATTTGATTAAATATTCTCGGCGAAGATCTCGGCCATAAGAATGGAGACACAGTGGGGCGCGGGGTCACACTCACCCAGCCAGGGACAAAAAAGCAATTTGGCGGTGGAATTTGGCAGCGCAGTAAGTCGAAATGTAAAGTGGTCGCATGCAGCAGTGGTGAATGATACAATTCCAACTTGACTTTAAAATCAGGGGTCTAGCGATCCATTGATTCATCTATCAAAATAAATTATTAAGGCTCGTGATATATGTATAGGACCACAGGTGTGAATGTGTATGTAAAGCATATGCGAATTATAAGCTCATGTTACGTTTAGGCTAATGGGGAAAATAAAGATATAGAAATGGGGAGGGGGGAGAACAACGGAATAATAAATAAATAAAAATACAAATAAAAAAAATCCCAAATTGAATCACATCTCGAATCGCAATAATGAATTCAATCACCAGCACTGTATGGGGGGGGGGGCAGCGTAGGTGAATGGTTATACCCCTATTATATGACACTCATTAATGATAATGTCCCTTGGCAATATGCTGGAGATTAACCTTCAGCGTAATGTAACAATAGGAGAGCCAGTTCACAGTATCTCATTACTTGAGGATGGTTATGAGCAACTTCAAAAACATGCTGTGGTGTCTCTCTGCTTAAACAAG